CTACTTATAATATTCGCATGGCCTACATAGAAATACATCATATAGAGTTATACAAGCTTTCAACTGAAGTCTTATTATATTTTTCATAACTTGAATAAAGATTACATAATTTCTCACAACAAAACTATACTTAATTTACTTTTGATTTAAGAAAAAAACTATTGCAAAATAATACATTTGATTTAGAAAAATGAAAAGTATAAATTCCAATTTTTTTTTTTTAAATTACATTTGTTGTAATTCTTTCATTAAATCTCCGAGTACTAGTTTTATTTCATTATGTCATATACATTCTCAAGTCAAATACGTTCAAGTGCGCACTTTTCTTACTAATACTACCAACAACTACTTATAATATTCGCATTGCCTACATAGAAATACATCATATAGAGTTATACTAGCTTTCAACTGAAGTCTTATTATATTTTTCATAACTTGGATAAAGATTACATAATTTCTCACAACAAAACTTAATACTTAATTTACTTTTGATTTGAGACAAAAACTATTGTAAAATAATACATTTGATTTTAAATATAAATTCCAATTTTTTTTTTCAAATTACATTTCTTGTATTTCTTTCATGTCTTGGAAATCACGCAGCCTTATATATTGTTGAAAATTGAGTGCAAAAGCAGGAAACGAGTTAACGAAGGAATAATGAAGAAACATGTTATTTTTTTTCTCATCCACTCGACCTTCTTTTTGGAAGTTTACATAAAACGTGTTTGGTAGAAGCAACCACAATGCACTCCCTCACCCTTGACGCTAATGTATTTTCGGGAGGGCGGTCAGATTATGTGGGATTTTATGCGGGATATGTGAATGTTGTGCAGGAGGTTAAGGGTTGCGCGCACTTTTTGATGACTTCCCTGCTTCCACTCGATCACTTTTGCATTATGAGAGAGGATTATGAGAGTAGGTTTTCGGGGCTTGTAGGGAGGTAGATGATGGCCAAGGGGCGGAAAAAAATTCCCGACCTAAGCGCGTTCCATATTGAATCCATTTTGCATAAGCACACATAACACGGAGGCTTCGCTCCACTCTTCCACCACTTCAACCCTATTATATGCTGCCTGCTGCTGTGCAAAAATAAAGTATGTTATGGGTTACACATACTACAATAAAACATAACCGATTTCTTCCAATGAAACTCTTGCTATGATGAAAACATATCTATTTGCTTCCATATACTTGAGTCAATTAATAATCCTTCAATCCACTTACATTTAAAGCAGCATTAATAAATTAGCTAAAACGTGTTGGTTCAAATAGTATAAAACAATGTTATTTATTGGATCCGGCTATCGTTTAATTGAAATTAAAATAAATGTTCCCATTTTGATACTAAAATTTATGAAGCTCTAATTCCCGGTCAATGTTTGTTCCTATTTATTTTCGTTTTTATCTGTCGAATTTACAGACTAGTGTGATCGTAATAACGCCTAGCGCCACATATTTCACATGGAGCTTTTCAGTGTCAGTACGGACAGAATTATTTTGCGCTCGCAAAACGTTAATTTACTGTTATTGTCACTTACGTGCAACCGATTAGCTCATAATAAAAAAAAACGCTTTGAAAACTAGGAAATGAGAAATATAAATAAATCCTAATAATAATATTTATTGAAACAGTAAAATTACAAAATTTAAAAAAAAAACTCAATACAATAATATAAATATCATAAATCAAAAAAAAAAGTCAACTGCTTCAAAGGTCTATTGACCATAGGTCTTTCTGCCCTAAATATCCTATTATACTCATTTTAAAAGGAATTTTATGAGATTCCTATGGATTTTTATGAGATATCTATTAATTCAGGAGAATGAATTTTAGATATATTGTTGTGTCCAACCATAATTATTGTAATTGTTATTATTAATATAGTGTATTAATGAACTACAGACAATCAAGGCATCTCTAGTCGCATTATTATATACATCAGCATAACGGAATCTCTACTGTGATTCCCATCAATACTCCTATACCTTTACTCCAAAGTCCTTATTATAAACACATAAATAGTCTCAGTAAAACCTTCAGACTGATAGAGTCTTAGTCAATCTTTTAAAGTATCTACATTGTCTTGGAAAAGTCCGCAAGAGTACCGATTATTATAAAAAACTTGTTGTAAACCAAACGAATTACTTAATTCCTACAGCTGAGACTCCACAACGACAACACCAGACAATATTCCACTGTGTCCAGAATTCCATCCCTGGGACACGACAATATTTCCTATATTCTCAATTTGGTATTTTCAATTAAAATTTATCAAATTTAGGAATAAAATAGTTAAATATAAGACAAGCAAGTATAACTAATTTTTACACTAGAAGCTGCATCACGTACATTATAATATATATTTAATATACATTTATAAATCGATAATGTTGATTATTAATTAAACTTAATTAATAATAGCGCGCATTTCATAATATCAATAATTTGTAGATAAATTCAATAAGTTACAGATAATAATAATAATACAATTAATATTGCACAGAGCGTGCATTCACATTGTATTATTTATGATATTATTGGAAACATAAATCAGTTTACCTCAACAAAGAGCACATCAAATGAATAATTCAATTAATCCTGTTTAGATCAGCTTCGCATTATGGCGATCCGATTGTAATGCTACAAACAGAAAAAATAATAATTTGTGTGTATGTAAGCGAGGTGTAGCATAGTTTTGATTGTCCAATTAATTGAGCCTTTGTGAAACATGAAAGTTTTAATATCAATTTGCGTACAACTGGAAACGATATGCATCTAGCAGCTCTTTGTATAATATCAAATCATAGTTGTTTTTTTTGCTTCGAGTATAAAAGTTCTAGGAAGAGAGTTCAAAGCTCCTAATGGAAGAAAAACGCACGAGGTGTCACATTACAGCGTCACTAAAATAATAACGACGGAGCGAAGTAAAAGCCTAAAACCAATTCCTTGTCATTGTGCTTAGTAGTTCCCTTTTGTTTCTGGTTCGCCCTCCCTTTTTACAGCTCCGTTTTACGCTCTCCATTAGGAATATAAAGCGTTGAAAAGCCCGCAATTATTTTCTATATATATATATATACATAAAAACACGAATAACATATTACATAAGTGCATGTAAACACAATTTTATGACCGTCGCATGTATAGATTATAGAAAATTCCGTACATACTTAACCAAATGTAAGTATTTCAGTGAATAAAGCAAGGAAAATATAGACGAATACTTTTCTGGGCCGACATTTTTCATTTATTCCTAGAATGCGTTAACTATATACAACAAGTGGAATAAAATGTTACAATGGTAATAATAAAAAGTGGTGAAATTAGAATAGTGAAAAATACCGTCAACCGTTTTCTCGTGCAGACGTGCGTTCCTTCTAAAATTACATTTACATATTAATTTTGTTCACAACTCGCATATACTTGATTCTTGAAATTTAAGCACTTCACATTGCACCAAATGAATATGCATGCCTATTTAATTATTTTTAAAGTAACACAATAATATATTTGTATTCTACAAATTTTGTTCAATCTATTCTACAATATTCAAAATTTTAATCCAATAATCCTTTATATTGCTTTTTCATTAAACATCTCTTGAATATGAACATTACAACAATTTAAAAAAGAAATTGGGAGCCAAATCTGCTTGTTTAATAAACTTTTATTACACTAAATAAGTAGTACACTGAATAAAACTAAATTTCATACTTAATAAATATTTGTGCCAGAGCCGCACTTAAGGAGCCAAAAAGCAACTTGCGGCTCTGGAGCCGCACTTTGCCGACCACTGATCTAGTACAATCTGCTATCAATATCTTGAAAAAGTTGAAGCCTAAATTAAATTATTTTTTGGTTCATCTACAATTACATTTTCAAAGAAACAGTTGAAAGATGTTGTTATTGATAACAACTTTGAGTTTGTATAAATTCGAAAAGTAAGCTTTGTTGACTCACTGCAAATATATTAAGAGTATAATAAATAAATGGTTTAAATCCAGGCAAACAATATTAATGATTGAATAATGATGAAAGTTTTAAAAATCGTGCTGCTAAATTGGATTGTTCTGAAATCAACGCTTCTCTTCGACAATAACAAAAACATATTTCCTAACGGTTGTTTTCGTTTCTTATTTTTTTTTGTGTTCCTTGAAAGCGGCAATAGAAAGGATGCTGAAATTGTTTATTTTACGCGCTAGCTTTCTCTCGTAATTAAGAGCACGAATTAAGGAATCGTCCAAAACAAATCACCGAATTTTAGTTTTCACATATAAACATACATAAATAAATAAAAACATATCTTTTGAGTTAATCATATAAATTTTAATATTTGATTACAACTTAATGGTAATTATAAGAACAAAATTTGCATAAATATTTAAATACAATTATTTAGGGATTAAATATAGTAATTAGAGAGTTATATTTTAGTATTACTTTCTATATTGGTACTAACTTATATTAATGCCTAAATTTCTTATTAGATGCAATTTTCATAAGAATAGAGTCGAAGCATGTGTTGATTATTACTTTCCAATTCTAAATTATTGCTGAAGAATGGAAAACTAGTGAGAAATGAAGCAAATGTAAATGAATTAGTATTAATAAAAATCTTTCATATTTGATATAAAACTTTTACAAAATGAATAAACAAGGCAACAAAAGTGTATGCACTAGTCTGTTCTTCGTCGATTGCTTTGATTTGTTTTATTTTTGGAAAGCTTTCTAATAATAATAAGGTAAATTCATTCTCGCAATGAAATCTTGCTGCTATATATTTGTTATTACCTGTGACTGTTGCTCATTATTCAAAGACAAGATTGAAGGGATTAATTATAAACAATAATATAATATGTTACTTCTTTTATTAGCTTAAAAATAGTTAACAAACAAGATATATAAAAAGAAAACATGAAAACAATAACAAAATTTTTAAACGAAAACGATTTTTGCATGATGATGGTGAATGGTTTTCGATGAAAGATGATGATTTTTGTTGCGCAACTTCTTAGTGCTTGCTGTGGTGGTAGATGACTTTGTAGACTGGGACCTTGACTGGTACTGGCCTTGGAACTGGGATTTGGACGTGCTTCTCAACATGGACTGGCACTGGCTTTTCTACTGGGTATGGGACAGACTTCTCGACGATGTATGGTACTGGCTTCTCAACGGGAATGGTGATGGTCTTGATGACGGGAACGGCAACGGGTTGTGGAACGTGAATGTGAACTGGGTATGGGTGTGGGACTGGTACAGCTACTGGTTTTGGTACTGGGACTGGGATAGAGTGTGGAATTGGGACACCAACATGTTTGTAAACTGGGATCGCTACTGGCTTTGTGATTTCTACAGTTTGGGATACGGCGTGTCCACCGTGGCCGCCGTCTCCGCCAGAGAATCCACCGTGTCCACCGGAGAATCCACCGTGTCCGCCGTCTCCACCGGAGAATCCACCGTGTCCTCCGTCTCCGCCGGAGAATCCACCGTGTCCGCCGTCTCCGCCAGAGAATCCACCGTGTCCAGCATCTATGCCAGAGAATCCTCCATGGCCTTCGTTGCCACCGAATCCGGAATGCCCTTCGTTTCCTCCGCCGAAACCGGAATGTCCTTCATAACCACCTTGATCACCACCGTCTTGTCCATAACTACCCGCATATCCAGCATTTACGGACGCGAACAAGCAGAGGGCAGCTACAGCAACCTGATGATAGAAAAAAACATATTTATTAGATATTGTAAAGAAAGTTGTGTTTATTTTACTTTTGTCATTTGAAAGTTACGCTATATTTAATTAAATAATTGCACACAGGCAAAAGAAACACGCAGCACAAAAGTAATTGCAAGGAAACTGTTAAATCTTTATAGAGCTAAACGATGTGTGCATTAATAATAATGATGCTGAGTCGGAATGAAAGTTCAAGATGTGTTTAACAAGCAGAACAAGAAAAGAAGTAGATGTAGAGCACACACACTCATGCTAAGTACATTCACTTTCAATAACAGATCGGATGTAACTAATAGCGAGATATAATTATATTTTAATTGTAAGTTAATATCTTACAGTTGTTTTGTACTTACGTAGGTATTCATTGTACACTTGGCTTGTTGTGTACAAGGAGAGATGAAATGAGTAGATGTGGTGATTGGATGGAGTTTTAAAAACTGATGGTTAAGGCTGAGGTTACCGCTGCTTTTATACTAGGCGGAGATGTTAGAGAGTACGATTGGAGTGTGATACACTTTCACTGGGATCCCCGCAAATTTGCCTCCTCTTTGCCATCCATGCAGATATCTGCGCCATCAATCATTCACATTCCGCCGAATTCGTTCGTGGCCAATAATGACACCGCATTTCACGATGCGCCACTGCTGAATTAACTTCAACGTCAAAGTCAAACATATTTGCATCAGAAACAAACACATTTTTTATTCACATAACATTGAATCGCACTATCATATTCAATGTTAAATGACAACTTCCACACAGTTTAATAGTAATGTAACTTATTAATAATATTTAGTTTACAGGAATATTCAATATTTTTAATAGCAAATTCATAAAGATGATTAATTAGTAAATTTGGGTTAAAGTGTTAATACACACAATATTATTATTTATTATTAAATTAGAACAAATTATAAATCAATATTTTATTATAATATTTGTTTCATCAATTGATACAATTTGATCTAAAAAAATCATATTAATAAATGTAATAAAAATATAATTATTTCAATAATTAAATAGAAAGTATATTCGAAGATTATAAAAAAAAAACAGGAAATTTACAGTAATCCAATAACCTGTGCAACAAATTTGGACTAGAACTTGTTTTTTTCTTCATCTGTTTTGTCTGCATCGAATGTAACGTTATAGGAATTAATTGGAACAAATCTTTTTAATAAAATGAAAAAAAAAGAGATCCAACAAAACTGATTTAAAAAATGTATAAGAATATAACAGAAATATATAGGAAATTAATTAACTGTTAAAAAAGGGCTACTGATCATAGATCTTTCCGCCTTTTTTGTAATTATTAAGATTAATAATTACGTTTCTGAAATGAATGTTTATAATTAATTTAAAATACTTTCTTTACTCGTAGTCAACTGGATTTATGTAATTGCAAAGTGTTTTGGAAAAGAAAGTATTAAAGGTATAATGGAAAGGTAGTATCAAAACCAGGATACGATTTGTGTTCAAGAGATCTCCGCCCAAGCTCATTATTTTATGCAAGACACGAGCTCAACTTCTTTCTTATTTTGATAAATATAATTACATGCAGAGCAGACGTATACTATACTATTTATATAAAGAAAAAGTACGTAAAACAATATTCTTAAACTAATTGAAATATATAAAAAAAAAAATCAACAATTAAGCTAAGTTAAAAGAAATTTTAATTATAGCTGACATTCACTGCACAAGAATCGCTGTGCTGTAACGAAATTTGCAGATGTTCATTGAAATAATTGAGAAACAAGTTCATGCAATTATAATTATGTTATTATACAGTTTTAGTTTACATTCACTGCGAAATTCTTGTATGTTCTTTTTTATGAATACATCAATTTTCGATTAAATCAATTGAACTGGTTCAGTCACCTTTTGTATGGGAAAAGGTGACCTAAACTTTTAATGGACTAGAACAAGTTTCTTAGCGCGCACTGGAGGAGGAAGTGACTGAGCATATTTTTGGTACTCAATTAAACTACTCGTGTGTGAATCTCAATCATTCCAAGAGTTACCGTTCAACAGAATACACGTAATTTGATAAAGACTGTATATATTTTATTTCACTATTTCACATATTATAAAGTTATTTAAATCTATGTAAGTTTCAATTATGTTTATAAAATGTGCACTAAAGTAATTAGAGCAATTAAATTTCAATAGTTTAATAGTTCAGACATTATATTAAAATCAAATCTACTATTAATTATTTCTCGTAACGAAAATTCATTGATATTTTAATGATTTAGGAATAAATAAAATAATTAAGCAAATGTAGTTAAAAATTAATGACATAACTCGTTAATGAAACACCTTTCATTACGCGTTAAACAAGAAATGAAAGAAAGATGATTACATGAAGAAAATATATCAGAGATAATTAAGGGAGTAATAAAAAGTATCAGCAGGGTTTCGTAATGTATATATCGTAAGGAGAAGATGAATACAATTTTTTTTTCCTTCTTTTGCGATGTGGAAATCGAAGTGAAATGGCGTCTCACGGGTGATAGCATAAAAAAAATAATTACGAGAGAGCTGAGAGTAAAAATACTAATCACCCCAGCAATAAATAATGGTTCTTGGGGGCCAAAATATGCGGTGTAATCGATTTTATTAATGCGCCCACGGCGGGTCGAGACCAAGAATAATTGTAATTTATGTTATCTTCGTGATCCTCGTTGCGCCCCGTGCGATTTCGAACTGGGTCGATTTCCGACTGGGGTTTGTTTGTATGAAGAAAATAAAAAAGTATAAAAATGATGGTTACAAAAAAATAAATAAAATCAAATCAAACACATTCAATTTGCGCCAAGATTTTTAAGTGCGTTTCACTGCCTATTTCGTTTAAAATATATATAGTTTTAAGGATAATTAACTTTACTTCTATTCTCAACAAAGTCTAACACCCAAACCACCTAAGTGGCTCATTTAATTTAATTGTGTTTTATACCTGTAGCACTACAAAACTCCTGCGTATTTACATAATAGATATTTATGAATGATATTAAGTTTTTCACAAAAGTAGCATTGTTGTACTACTTATTGTAATTAGTATCGTTTTATGTCATTCATTAAATGAAATCGTACAACGTTCTATGGAAGGACGATTATAAAAGCCGAACTATATATTTTTCTTTGGTGATTTTGGATTAAAATGCGAGATGAACGGAAAGAGAATTGGGGAGAGGGTAGGCAGGTGGAGGCTTCAAAGGAAATAATAAGGGATTTCTATGAAGGAGAACCCGATATTGAAAATTGTAAAGCTTCATTCCCGATAGAACAATGAAGATGTATAAGTTGATGCATTTTCTCCGTAGTTTGCAAATGGAATTTCTAAAGGCGACTTTATTTGAAACTGTAATTACTTTTAGGTAAAGCATTGTGAAATGGTCCCTATGTAAATAGACGAATAACTATTAAAAGAATATTTTATTATAGATAACATAACGATTCGCGATGTTTCGCGTTTTCGAACGATTATTTAAACAATTGCCATGTATTGAATTTAATTTTATAATTTTCAATTATATTCATTATTTCTACAAAAATTTCCTAAAATTGATCAAATTTTACTTGGAAAGTCACAAGTAATATTGATATATTTTATATAAGTAATTGCATCAATTAATCAAATCAATAAAAACATTTATTTTTTGAGACTACTTCTACAAGTACTTCTATAAGTTACTTGGCAAATATTGTTTAGTATATAATTATTTCAATTTAAACATGAAATGAAATGCATTATTTACATAAACATTTTTCTATAATTGTTTGAATTTGTAATAATTAACGCTCGTTTCAAAATGTTCGAATCGAAACGCAGCATTTTTCATGCGAATATAAAAATGTGTTTAACGTTTGAGATACGAAGTTGCAGCTGCAGCTGATTCTTCGTGACGATTCGCGACGTTTCGCATTTCCGAACGATTGTTTAAACAATCGCCTAATTTTTATTAATGCAGGTGTTCTCACTCACCTTTTCATGCCAAATATGGATTTGTTTATACGTACCACCTGCAGCTGTGATTCATCGAGACGCAGGTGTGTGCAGAAGTTTTATCGTCAAATTTCTATGAAG